CTCACTCCCAGCTCCATTCCCTGCCCTGACAGCTCCAGTCCCTCAGTGTCGCTCTGGCCATGAAGAGCCAGAACTGGAGGGATCTCCTTGCTGCTCCTCCAACATCACCAAGAATCCCACTGAGTTCAAACACCAAAAACCCTTCCCTGCCCATAACCCAGCCCTACCTTTGCAGGTGTGCTGCTCCTGGGGATTTTATCCATGGTTGTCATTGTGCACGTGGAGCAGCGCAGAGAGCCAGAGGAACCAGCGGGATGGGGACCCTCGAGCCGTGCCCGTGTGGGGAACTCCCCTCAGCCAAGTCCATCTGACAGCTCTGCCCTAGCAGCACTCGCAGCCTGCAGACAAGCTGCTCATGTGAGATAATATCTGAGACAGCAGAGGTGAAAGGAGGGCAGAATAAAACCCAAGAAAAGCCCTTTTGGCGACTCAAGTAAGAAAGCGCCGCGTCAAGCGGGATTTTCCTTGGTCTTCCTGCAGCAGCTTGTCGCAGTTGAGCAGTGGGAAGTGTGAGCCCTCTGCCCGTGCTCCTGTTTCCTCTTTTGCAGCAGTGAGAGCGGGGCCGTGGCACAGTGAGGAGCTGCACAGCCCCGATAAGGCAGCCCAGGGCAGGATTCCACTGCAGCTCCTCCGGCTTTCCAGGCAGTCTCAGCTCTCACAGCATGAGGAGCAGGAGCCCCAGAGTCCCACAGGAAAGGTGTTTCCAAAGTCAGGGAATGCTTTGGGTTGGAAGGGGCTCAGGGACCACCTCATTCCATGGGCAGGGACACCTTCCAGCAGAGCAGGCTGGCCAAGCCCATCCAGCCTGGCCTTGCACACTGAATTTCACCCTGGGGTTTGTTTTCTCATTTAACAGGATTTCAGTTTTTCCCAGCCCTTCTTTCTCCAACAACCTCGTGGCCTCAGGAGGATGCCCAGGATATGGAAAGGCAGCAGGGTGCCAATGGCAGGATGGTTTTGTGTTATAGGAGTGACTTTTTGCTCTGGCCCTGTGAGTTCAAGCCCCCAGAGCTACGGAAGCTTGAGGTGAGAGCTCCCCCAGTTCACAGCCACAGTGGTGCTTTAACACATGAACCACAAAAAGAGGGTGGTAAAAGCAGATTCCAAACACCACTAACAAGTGCACGCATTACTGACAGGTGCTTTAGCAGAACTAAAAGAAAGCTGGCACTCCAAAACTAAAAAAGCCACTGCTGCCACCCATCCCACATCACGCCTCAGTGACTGTGCCAGCACTTCCCTTTCCCTGCCCCCAGCTCGGCCTCTCCTGTTTCCCCACCAAAAAGGCACCAGCACCACCATCCCTCAGCACAGAGGCACAGGAGGAGCAAAGAGGATCCAGCCTCAGAAATGTTCTGAACAGAGGGAGCTTTCAAGAGAAAATTAAATTTCATTATTCAAATAAAAATCTCCCACATTCTACTTCTCACGTCTGTAACTGTACCTGATACAGGTGGAACACAACAGATGCATCATTCCCAAGCCCCAGCCTCCCATATTTGACCATTTCACCTTTGTTTTACAGAAAACAAACACAATTCCCTCTTTATGTATCAAAGAGCTTTTTAAAAGGCAATCTTTATTTAAATACAGACAAAACCTGTACCCTCACCAGCCCTTGACAATTCCTCTGTGTAATAATGGAAGTTAATCCAGCAGCAGGAACCAGCTCAATTTCAAAACCCTCACCAAGGCAAGTGCTGAGCTCTGGCCCAGCTGTGATGCCCAGGAGCTCTGCACCAGGAGGCCTCAAAAAAACCCAAATTTAAGGCTCTGCTCAGGCAGATCTCTGGGAGAATAAGTAGTGAATTTTCCAACTTGGAGAAGTTTTAAGCACAGTTTCTCAACAATGGGCACTGGGTTTGTGACTAATTAAAAAAGAATGTGATTGAAGTGCTGTGTAAGACACAGATGAAGATTTCTCGGTCAAATGAAAACAGTGACATTTCTGAGGTACACATACAAAAATTCAGATGCACAGGTTTCTTTCTTTGAGAGGATATTAAAGGTCTCTAAGGCAAAATTATTTTCACTTGAAGCAGCACTGTCACATTTTAATTGCAATGTGGATATTCCTTAAAACTATTAGGAATTCACTTTGAGGTCCCACTTGTTAAGATAAATTCAGAAGAGGATGAGATGAAGTCTGACTTTAACACGAGAACTAGAAGACCATTTCTTGAATTCATCTAAACAACTGAAAATCTTGTTTGAATTCTTATGGCACAACTCAGAACTGCAGGCCTACTCGGCCAAGAAACAAAAAACACAAAAGAATTCACCAAAACCCCAGACTGAAGGATACAAACCAGAGCTTTACAAATAATGAATTGTGGCTGAAGGCAGCTTAAGGCTTTGTTAAAGTTTCTACACCAAGTTCTGCTGCTCTTTGTGTGATCTCTTCTCTGCCAGAGTCCAGAGGGATTGCACAGACACAACACAGAGCAGAACTGGCTCCTTCTGAGCAGGACACGGTCCCGTTATCTTGTGTGTGATTCCAGGCAGGGGAACAAGCTTAGCCCTTCCTGCCAGGACCACTTCATCCTCCACCCCCTCCCTTCAGTACAATTAGAGATGACTTACAAAAAATCAAACCGCGCACGCTAATAAAAAAATTAGCGTGGGGTGCAAAGTCTCGATATTTGCAATTTTCCTGCCAGGTGTGACAGAATGCAAAGTGACCCAGCCCTGCAGAGCTGCCTCAGTCCGTGGTGGATCTCCTGTACCAGAACCTGGCCCGGTAGTCGTCGCTGCAGGTCATGAAGCCGGGGTTGGTGGGCGAGTGCACGATGCAGCGCACGATGCTGTTGTGGCCCAGCGACAGCAGGTTCCTGCGCTCGGCCGTGCGCGAGTCCCAGCAGCACAGGCTGATGGTCCTCTCGTCGGGCAGCAGCACGTAATCCTCCGTGTGGTTGAACACAGCCTGGGTCCTGTGCACCTGGCGCCCGCTCAGACCCGCACCTGCACACACGG